GCACCAGCATCTAGCAAAGGCCTTCATGCTGCATCTGTTGAAAGGTGAAGGAGCAAGATAGCACATAAGGGAAGAGAGCTCAAGAGGGGGCTTAATTTGTCCTTTATGTCAGAAACCCACTACGGCAATCCCATATTATTGACGTTAGTCCATTTACATGGGCAGAGCCTTCATGACCTAATCACCTCTAAAGGCCACATCTTTCAATACTATTGCTTTGGGATTAGGTTTCAAACACAGGAACTTTGGGGATGACACATTAAGCCACAGCAGGTTACCCGGAGATAATCTGAAATAATTCCTCTAGAAAATACAAAAAGGGGAAAAGTAAGAAAATAAAACTTTCCTAGAATGCTAGGAGCAATGAGGGCCCATGGTAAGATGCCCTGGGTTCCATCTCCAGTACCACCTACAGCACATAAAAGGTTGAAGATTTTTGTTTTGTAAAAATGAAATTACATTTTTCATGTTACTCTTAAATATCAGGGATATACTTTCATATCAGTACTTAGACTATAATTTTCTTTAAATAGTTGCATAACATTTTATAATATACCATAATTTAGTTAACATTATTTTATTGATATGCATTTAAATTCCAGTTTCATGAATATAAAAAGCACTGCAGAAATTATATGTATGTATTTAGGTATTAATATTTTTATTTCTAAGAGAAATTTATCAAAGTTATATAACTTAGCCAAAGGCTTTTTTGTGATTTTAAAATTTTTATTTGAAACATAACTTAGAGTCAAGAAAAATATGTAAATGTGTATCTTGATAAGTTTTCACAAAGTCAACATATTTGAGCATCTCTAACAAGAAAAGGAACATTGGGCTCGGGATATAGCTCAGTTGGTAGGGTACTTGCTTTGCATGCAGAAGGCCCTGGGTTCAATTCCCAGCATCATCAAAAAAAAAAAAAAAAAAAAAAAAAACAACATTGCCAGCATCCCAGAAGTTCCTTTCATGCCTTTTGTCAGTCAAAACTCCTGTCTCCAAATATAATAAAACATAAAGACAGCAACCTTAATCTATGATTAGCTTAGTTTTAGCTTTGACTGCTTTATAGCTTTCTAAAAATGGGCTTTTATACTACTCTGCTTGATATATCAGCTGTATGAATACCAAAATCACCCAGCACTGACAAGAATATAAGATATATTTATTGATTTACTAGTGCTAATCAAGTCAAAGTGCAGAATTCCTTTTAGGGAAGGATTTGGAGTGAAGGTTCAACAAAAAGCTGAATGATGATGAAAGACAAAGCACTCTTAAGTAACATCCACAATGAAGGGAACTTGGTATTAAAGCAGCATCTCAAAGGAAAATTTTGTTTTGTTTTTTTCCCCCATGGAGGTATAAATTGCATACAACAAAATTCACTGGTTTTGATGAACATTTCTATGATGAACACAGCCATGTAGTTACTATCCCACTCAAAGTAAAGACAAGACTGGCTTCATTTCTGAAAATGCCCATATGCTTCGTTTATCAAACTATCCCTCCACTGGCAGCCATGAGTGACTAACCATGGACCTGTTTTCTCTCTCTTTAATTTCTCTCCCTTTAATTTAATCCCTGCCTTTGAGGAAGGGATTATTAAAAGATGGGAGGCAAATAATTGATGACAAATAGTCTTGACATAAAGTTTAAGGGAATAACAAGCAGAAACCCTTTTGAGAAGGCTGTAGCTTAGGAGAGGCAGTATTCCAAAGGTAAGCCAAGTTTCAGTTAAAGGAAGTGGGCCAGGAGTGCTCAGTGGTGAGTGAGAATATGTTGATGATGTGGAGTTGGGGGGGTGTTTACCTCCAAATTGTGTTCCGGAGAGGGTGGAAAGGGTGGCAATAAGAGTCCAACAAAATGACTTCCATTCTGTGTTTAACAAGATCATTAACTTTCTTGAATTTCTTTTTTTTTTTTCTTTTAGTGACAGTACAACTCTAATTTTTCTACTGATTCTTTTTCTCAGTGCTTTTTATTTTTTCTGTTTGTTCTACAGTATTTCCTAAGCTTTCTACTGGCTTCTCTGTCCTTATGAATTAATTCCTTTCATCTTATTTTTCTAAACAAGTGATCACTAACCTTAATCTCTAGCCTAGATTTTAGGTATTACATTTCTTTCTGGCAAATAATAWTTTTTTAAAAAAGAACTATCTGTGAATAGTTCATTTTATGTGACAGCTAGCTTCAGCTAAGGTATGCAGAAATTGCTGGTAAAACATTATTTCTGGGTGTGTTTGTGAGCGGGTTCTGGAAAAGATTTGTATTTGAATCTATTTACTAAGGGGTGTCATAAAATCCCTTGAGGGCTTTAATAGAACAAAAAGGCAAAGGAGGAGCAGATTTGCTCATTGCTTTAGTGGGACCATCCATCTCTTGCCTTAAAGAAATCCCTTGTAGATCTGTAGAGGAAAAGGACCAGCCTTAGTTGCTGAGGCGCCATGTATTGTGTGCATGTATGAATATGTAACAGCAAATTCCATCAATATGCACAGCTATAGTGCACCAATAAAATGTAGGAAAAATTGTTAGGATATGATATAGGGGGAAGAAAAGATCCTTGTAAAGGCCTTCAGATTCAGAGTGGGATAATACCATGAGCAGACTTGTCCCTCAAACTTGCACATGGCATTTTATGAGATTTCCCAGCTTCCATAATTGAGTGATCCAATCTCAAAATAAATCTCTTTGTAGGTATCAATATATGTTCTGTTGGTACTGGGATTGTGGCTCAGTGGTGGAGCGCTTGCCTAGCATGTGTGAGGCACTGGGTTTGATCCCCAGAACCACATAAACAAATTAGACAAAATATAAAGGTATTGTGTCCGTCTACAACTTTTAAAAACTTAAAAAAATGTATATATGCTGTTGTTTCTGATTCTCTAAAGAACCCTAATGCAGTACTCATTTAATAAAACAAGCAAAATTTGTACATAGATATTTATAGCATTTTTATTTATAACTGTCAAAAACTCAGAAGCAAACAAGATGCCTATTGGCAGATGAGTGAATAAACTGTGGTATATCCAGATAATGAAGTACTATTCAACAGTAAAAGGAAGTGAACTATTAAAACACAAAAAGACACGCAGGGACCTTCAAATATACCTTACTCAGTAAAAGAAACCAATCTGAAAAGGCTATATACTATTGAGATTCCAACTATATGACATTCTGGAAAAAGTAAAACTATGGAGACAACAAAATAGGAGGGTTTCACCCTCACTTAAAATCATTCTTTGACCTTGCCTAGTTTTTGGCCAACCATTTCTATTTTTTATGTCACTTTTGACTCTTTCCTCTTTTCATTTCTTTCATTTTCATTGACTCTCAAGAGATGTGATTCACTTATTCAGTAATAGATCTTGGTGACATTAAAATGTCTCTGACTAATTCTGTCAGTGTGAAGGTAATTATTTCGTTCATAGTCACCAATTGGTAGGTGATATAAGGGTATAGGCTCTAGAGTATAGGCTCTAGCTCAAAGCCTTAACACTTCACACTTTTTTTTTTTTTTTTTTTTTGGTATTGGGAAATGAACCCAAGGGCGCTCTACCACTGAGCTACACTCCCAGTTCTTTTTATTCGTTACTCTGGGACAGGGTCTCACTAAGTTGCTGAGACTGGCCTTAAACTTGTGATCCTCTGGCCTCAGCCTGCCATATCAGTAGAATTATAGGCATGTGCCACTGCACCTTTTAATACTTAACTATTTTATATCATTACTTTAAGTATATAAACATATTGAAAGTTGAGTAGGATCATGTATGACAACATCGAAACAGAAAACACTCAAAATTTCAAATAATTTCCTCAAACTATTTTTCCTTGTAGGGAATAGTATGGTGTAGTAGATAAAAACCTAAATTTTGATCTAAATTTCTAGTTTTAATCCTACCTTTGCCCCTCTATAAATGATAATTTGGTACCTTCCAGTAAAATGTTTGTACTATTTCTTTTTATGGTTTTTCAAAGAATCAAATTTAATTTAAATTTTGCCATATTTAACAAACTTTTTAAACTTACATATTGAGTCAAACTCTACTTTGTAGTTTCAAGATTTATTTAATCTGATCTTTGTTTCTTTTTCCTTTTTCTCCAGTATAGGCTCTTAGCTCAAGTTCTCATATAAACATGCATCCTGTACTCATTCTTGTTTTCCTGCCTTCCCCATTGCTGTTCATTTTTGCCCATAGTGCTCATTTTCTTTTCCACTCTTCTGTCATTTAGGGTATGGCTCCTCTTTTTAGTTAATTTGCATCCATTGCTGGCATATTTGTGGCGCTTTACTTTTTTCTCCCATTCTCTGTAATTATAAAGTTCTCAAAGTGTAGACCACAAACTGCTGTTGGTCCATGATGAGATAAGGAGCTTACATTAAAATGTAAATTAACTATCTCAAAAACACATTGCTCTGTTCAGTTTTGTTTTTCTGGTTTTTGTTTTTGTTTTAATGCAACATTTTTTTAATGATGCAGCACTGCATTGATTTATATTCTGTTTAAACGCCATCTCATTTGTAGACTAATATTTTGAAATTACATGATGCAAGTTAATATTTGAGATCTCTGTAGTGTATAATGGGGCATAGGGGTGGTGAGTTGAAGGTGCTAGTGAGTATAAAAGGACTTTTGTCATTTTTGACCATGTTGCATTGGAATCCTGTTCCTGGAATTCCTTTCTTCCTAATTTTTTGGTGRCAAGAAAAACCTGTTTGTTGTTGCAGGTACTTGCTTTTCTAGCCTCCTTTTTATTAGGATACATGAGCTTTAGACTTGGCTAAGCAGGTGCCACAGTATCTGGTGACACAGAAAAGGAGGAACTATATTGACTATTCTGTCAGTGGTGGCAGTAACAGGTGTAGTATGTTTTCCTAGAACTAATTTTGCTGCTACAAGTTTTAAAATGTCTTAGGCTTACTTTGTAAGACAAGTTGTACACAGTAGAGATTCTGAATAATAACAATTCATTTCAGTATCTGCATTTAAAATTTTCAGTGTGCTTTAATGGACAATGTACTGCAATGTATGCCTGAAGTACTTGAAATGCAAATTTGGGACAACTTTACCATCTAAATGCTTGGCTGGATTAAGCGCCTGATGAGGATGGTTTTTCAACAAGTTGGAGTAAGCATGCAATCGGTGAGTGCTCAAAATTCATTTTTAAAATCTAGACATTTCGATCTTTTAAGAGTTTTTCTGAGAAAATTAGATAAGTTCTATATGTGATCAATATTTGAATTTAATATTTATATAATGTTTAATTTGCTCACTATTTATATAATAGAAAATCTTTTCCCAGCATCCTGAGTAAAGGAATAACTTTCTGGGGTAAGTGGAAAACTTAATTACTGYATCATGTGACCATTAAAAGCAACGCATCTGTTACTAGTGAGGGAAGGCTTAAATATACAGAAAAATCATGTAATAAAATGTTTGACTCACAGTTGATAACTTAGTGTTGTAAAATTATTAATATTGAATTATGTTATAATGTCATTCATCAAAGTTAAAGGTAAGTCATGCCTCCTAAATATAAACTTTAACGAGGAAGAAAAAAATTTAGTATATTATGATCATTCTATTCTACAGATGTTAGTTCTGTTCTTGACATTTTTTATAGGTATTTTATATGATACATAATTTTATTCAGATCCTCTGTGAAGTTATGAGAACAACTGTGCCAGGCACATTTTGTAGAATACTTTTTTCTCATTTTCAAATTCAGTGTCTTAGTGTCTGTGATATGGTATTAAGTTTTATTAAATATATAGTTAGGTTACATCATTTGAATATGAATATTCTAGTGTACTTCTCAGTTTTTAGTTTTTACTTTGTGTCTGAACTTTGAATCTAATTCCCCAAGGCTACATCTATTTGGAGATATAAAAAGCAGAGGACCAATTAAAATTACATTTATTTATTTATTTATTTATCTATCTATTTATGTAGCTGCATGGTTTTGAAATTATTAGCTTGAWGATAAATAATAGGAAAATAAATTACTGATATTTTCATCTTTTTCAGATACATGTTCATATGTTTTGAACATTCTTTTATCACTTATATACCACCATTTGGCTACATATAGTAGATTAGCATTTTAGTATTTATACCAAAAGAGTTTCTTTTCCTCTTGCTTCCGGAAAGAAGGAAAGCTTCTTTTATTTCAAATTCCCCAAAAAGTGAAGCATTTTTATTTCTATTTATTTGTTGTTTTAATGAGAAATGCAGTTTAGTGGTAAGATTGTTGGCCCTGGATTTAAATAAACCTGGATCTGAAATTTGCCTCTGCTGGTTATTCTTTTCATCTTCAAAATAGGAATAAGAAGAATTGTGTGTAGCACAAGGCCTTGTATATAGTGTAGTTGCATTCAATAGTAAAAAGCTTCCTGGTTTGGCTTTGTCCCCCACTTCCCCCACCTCATCAGGCTAATATGACTTGGGCTAATTTAGGCCACCAGGCCACTTACAGAATTCTCTTAGGCACAAGTGACATTTTGTTTAGCTTTGTTTATTTTAAGTTGTAAAATGGATGTCTTTTGTCAGAGAATGGACTAATTCAAAATATTGCAATTAAAACTAAGGGCCCTTCCTATTAATAGAAGATGAGCAGGATCTTTTTTTTTTTTTAATGTGTTGAGACTAATACATAATTATCAGCTTTAATCAGTTTGCTGAAAATCTGTATAAACTCAACTTTTCTTCTGAAATAAAGCATTTTGATCTTTTGGAGATTTTTAATTTCTAAGATTTTTGGAGGGTAATGGCCTCCTGTTAAATAATCAAAATACAAAAGTATAGCCTTTACTGTTGGACATCTGAAGAGAAACTTTCTTAGCTCCACTTTTGTCTGTTTCCCACCCCCTCCCGCAGCCCCACATTCACATATATGTGTGTGTGTGTATATATGTGTGTGTGTATATATATATCATGTGAACCCAGTTTGGTTTCAAATTCCTTCCTCTTTTTAGACTACTTTGCAACCTCTTACAATAGAAGGGGAAGAAGACTGTGAATGTTTATTAAAGACATTATAAATATGTTAACTCACTTAATACTCATGGACTCATGAAGCAGATATTGTTCCCATTTTATAGTTGAGAAAATGGAAAATCAATACAGTGATCAGCTTATATAGGCAGTAAATCAGTAGAGCCTGCCTTTAATGCCAGGTCTTTGTGCTGCCATGGCTTAGAATTCCTCTTCACTGTCCTCCATTTTGCCTCAACATTTGTTTGAATGCATCCAAACTTTTTTCTCAATTTATTATATTTATATGCCTAAACAAAAACATTATTAAACTAAAGAAGAAAGAATAGTATGAAGCTAATGTGATTCCTATTAACCTTAGTATTTTATGATAAAAAAAGATACTATGGCGAATATCTACTTTGTATTAGAAAAATAATAATATGTGAGAATTATACCTTTTTCTTTTGTTCTTTGGAGGACCAATATAAATGTGATTAGGAATTTAGAGCAGGGAAGAAGAGAACTAATAGAAGTTTAATCTTCAGTTAGGAATTTTGAAATTATCAAAAAGAATTTCTTTGCTCCATTCTTCTTCCCTCTCCCCAGTACACACTTTTTATATTTCCCTGGGTCCCTTGGAATGTAACAGTTTATACTTTGTTGGATCACAGACTCCTTAAAAATTTTATCGATGGCATGAACAGTTTTCCTAGAAAAATGTTATATACACATAGAAATTTTGTATATGTATACATGAATCAAATTATATCAGTTTATCTAAAAATCTGTATTTACTTAGAATTTATAGTTTCTTCTGTTAAATATTTTCTCTTGAGTAATAATATAAATTAGACTCGTTTATAATAAATGAATTGCCACATAAAACTTGAGTGCAGTTATCACAGATGAGACAGATGATGCTTCAGATTCTAGCCTCACACATCAACACTTCTACAATAGCATTTCACAATGTTAAAAAGAACAAATTGCTTTCCTGTTGTCATCCTCCTCCTTTCTGTCATCACTTTCCAATACTGTTGCTAAATGTTATGGACTGTCATTACTAGACGCAGACATGCACACATACACACATACACAGACTCATTAGATTATTTATAAGCTGTTTTTATAGATAAAGCATAGTTTTTCTGTTTAGTGAGTTCTTAAGGGAATTGAATTCTTATTTCTCAGTGAGATCAAATTATCTAGTAATGACAGTTTTCTCCCTGACTTCTCTCTTAAATCTGAAGAAATATTAATGACAGTTTATCTTTAGAAGGAGCATACCCTTCTCCAAACCAGTATATTGACAAGACACAGTTTAGCCACAGGGTAAGGTAGGAGATGCACTTGGGTCATGCAGCCTCCTGGTGCACAGATGGTGACTTTTCAGTGCCATCTGTTCACTATTTCTTCACAGCCATTTATAATTTCTCTCCTTCCATGAGTACTGAATAGAAAAAAAAAATCAAGACCTACTTTTGGAGTTCTTGGAAGTCTTTCCCCTTAGTTTTTGTCTCCTCACTTTAGTCTGGTGGCTGTTCTTTCTATATATCTATTAACTTACATAGAGTCTTGCTTCATATTTCCTGGCACTAAGTACTATGCATTTCACAAGTAACAAAAGAACATTGTTTTACTACTATGTATGCTTGAAAAAAATAATCACATAAAGCAATCTGTTCTTTTTCCTTCCTTTAATCTTTGTAGATGAAATAGTCTACATATTCCTTACAATTAATAGTTGAATCATTGGCTACTTTTCTAGAAGGCACCTGGTATTCTTTTCTTCTGATATTAAACAGATGGAAAGATGATAATTGAAACTTAGCCCTGCAGCATGTATAATGAAGACTGCTAAAAGCTGTCAGAAACAATCCTTCCTGACCTTGGCAAATCCTTTCAAAAAATTTCTTTGTGAGCTTTTTGTCCTCTTCATCTCCAGGCAAGATCTTTTTTTCCTGGAGAGGAGGAAGATTCACTCTATAGACTATGTAATTATTACATTGCGATGCATAAATAGCATTCCAATTCTCTTACATCATAAAAGAATTTTGACTTGTGACTAAATACAAGATTCAAAAAAAAAAAAAAWAGAAATCACCAAATGGTGGTGTTACCATTGCTCTATGGATTTATTTTTAAAAGACCAAGAGCTATTGAAATGTATAAGGTAAAATGCTTGCTTAAATACTGTGTATTTTAGAATGACTTGCCCGTGTTCTGTTTTGGGGATAGCGGCTTTTATGTTGATTTTGTAGAACGGTGAGGCTTCCCATTTCCCTCTAGTCAGATATTTTTCCATCTCTTAGTCATATCATCATCATCAGCAGCAGCAGCATCACTATTTTTTTTTTTAATTTTTATACTGAGGATTGAACCCTGGGATGCTTAATTGCTGAGCAGTCTTTAAAATTATTCTTTATTTTGAGCTAGGGTCTCACTAAGTTGTGTAGGACCCCACTAAGTTGCTGAGGCTGACTTTGAACTTGTGATCCTCCTGTCTCAGCCTGCTGAACTGCTGAGAAAACAGGCATGTCCCACAATGCCTGGCAGTCCTCAYGTTATTAAAACTATTTATATAACAATCCTCTGTATAATTATTGTGAGTGAAATTTTGCTCTAGACTTCAGAGTAACTTTACCTCTTAAATTCTTTGTATAGTAGTCATATTTTAATATCAGTATCTTCCTTTCTACTTACTAATTCTGATACATATCATCCTTTTTATTTATACTTCCAAAGAAAGAATCACAGTTTTTGTTGGTTATCATAGCCAGTAGATTCTAGTGTTTTCTGGGACTCTCCTGGGTAAGTTCATGAAACCTTGAATATATAAGATAAAAAATATATAATAGCTAAGGCAAATGCCAGGAGTATTATATGTACCCTCAAGACTCTCACTTTGACTCATATTAAATTGGATTTGGCTGCTAAAATTTAAGAAATCAGATAGCTTCTGTGCACATTTGGTAAGTTGTTCATGATGCTTTTATAATGGTCTGAGGTACAGTTTGGGTTGGGTGTTTTAGCCATCAGAGTTTTCCATGATCCGTTGCGTGGTCATACTGTTTATATTGGAGTAATTCCATTCTTTAACCTACTATAGATCTTAAAAGGGGGATGATGTCCATTATCCCCTTTATATCTAATTGTTCTGGTATTATTTATTCAGTCTTTAGAGTACAATTGTTAAGGTTTGAGAAATAAGTATAATAGTCATGTTATTCCCATTCTTTTCTTTTATGATTGCTTTTAATAGCATACTACCTTTCTTTACCTCTTCTATCCAGGCTTTCAGGTGTAGCACTCAAAACGGATAGTTTTTCTCTTTAAGGAAAGATCATATACTGGGGGAGAAGTTTTCAAGGTACAATTTGTAATGATTTAATATACTGTCTGTGTGTTATTTGTTTGCTTTTTGCTTTAGGGGTTTGTTTTTGGTTTTGCTTTAAGCATAGCATAATGTCCTAGGTACACTTTTTTTTTTTCTTCAGAGAAATTCTGCTCATTATGGCTACCACTAGCTCATTTAGCACCTTTATGCAAATTAAAGACAAGGACATGCTTAGGGAGCATTGTGACTACTCTTCTTTGGTCAGGTGCCCCTGTGCAGCAAGTAACATGCATGGCATCCATTGACATTCTAAGCTTTGTACTAATTTGGATTTGTTTTGAAGAGTTCATCACAGCAAAAGTAACTCTCAAATATTTTTTAAAATAATTTATTTCTAAAATTCTAAAAGTAAAAATATAGCAGAAGAGGTAAAATAGTGTTTCCTTTGCAGAAAATTGGGTCTTTAATTCAAATATAGTATTATTTAAAAGTTAGTAGTCTGTATTTTTATATAATGCCTTGCATTAAACTTTATTGCCTTTAATAATAGCAAGATATATATATACACATATATATGTATGTATATATATATATATATATATACACACACACATATCTATGCACAAATATATATTTATATATTTTATTTATTTTGAATTGAGAAGTATGAGCTTATTTCCCATAACACTTAGAGCTTTCTGATGCCGTAAGTAATGTGTTAGCATGTCATGCATTTACAACTCGAGTATTAACAGTTGTAAAAATCTTATAATTAAACTTTTGGTTTTTCCTACTTCTACAGGTACTTTGGTCTGGAAAACCATATGGTTCATCTCGAAGTATCGTAAGGAAAATTGGTACTAACTTATCTCTGATTCAGTGTCCAAGAGTTCAATTTCAGGTACTATGTTTTACATATTTCATATGTTTTACAAACTTTATATTACCCATTTACATATTTCATGTATTTCTAATTTGTACATTAGAAATATAAATAGGTAAGATGGTTAAAAGTACTTTGTTGTGTTTGAACCTTTTCCCTATTGATATCAGTATTCTTAAAATAAGAGGATTAATAATCAAAGTAGTCTTTCTAATTTTAGTTCCTCTGTGAAATGATTATTCAAGATCTTTAAGACATTTATCCTTCTTAAAAATACTTGTGTGGGTTGGGTGCGGTGGCGCATGCCTGTGATCCCAGCAGCTCAGGAGGCTGAAGCAGGAGGATCTCAAGTGCAAAGCCAGCCTTAGCAACTTAGCAAGGCCCTAAGCAACTAAGTGAGACCCTGTCTCAAAATCTTAAGAAAAAGTGGGGCAGGGTTGGGGATGTAGTTCCATGGTTAAGTGCCCCTGGGTTCAGTCCCTGGTACCAAAAAACAGACAAACATATGTGAAGATTTAGAAGACTAAGATAAGCTATCATTATATATTATTATTATATATTATCCTTAATCTGTTATAGACTAATGATAAGCAATTGCCAGTTCCTAGGTGACTTAATATATAGGCATTCAGTTGCTTAAGTTACCACCATTATTTTCTTTATTGTTAATCTTTTTTCTTTGAACAGGGCAATCATTTAGTTTGTTTTTAGATGTCTCTGTGGATACCTTATAAGTTGCTTTCTTCATCATAGATTTCAAACTCAGCATTAAATATAGGATCCATTACCTTGGCAATGGCAGTATCAAAACAAAGAGATAACTATAGTTTTCTAAATGGAGTAGTAGGTCAAACCCTGACTTAGAAGTGCTCTTTCTTTTGTATTTGTAGTGACCAGGATTGAACCTGCTAGACCAGTGCTCTACCTCTGAGCTACATCCCCAGTCCTTTAGGAGTACTTTGAATGTTCAAATATTAGTATTTTCTTATAGTGCTAAATCAGGAGCAACTCCACTCTTTGCTTGGAGATTTTACTGTTTCTTTCTGATAAGCATTTGTTCTTCATTGTTATTATTGTCAGATCAGGCTGGGCAGGCAGCAACCAAAGGAGGCAGATTTAAAAGGGCCGCTGAACAGGCTTTATTAAGATATCACTCCGGGGCGGAACTCGATCAGACCCACAGAGGGGACAGGGGAAGGGTCTGAGGAGAAACCGCTGGAAGCTCGACCGGACTGGACTTTTGTGGGGCTTACAGCAGGAAGGGAAGGGCTTGGGACAGGAAAGGTGTCTCTAGGGTCCCTTGCCCCCTTGGAGTTGATCAGGGGAGTTGGCTGAACTCCAGGATTGGCCAGGGGGTCATGCTGATTGACAGGCGTTTTCACTGGCATCTGATTGATGTTCTTTTCCGGCCCGGACTGCTTTGTTCTAAGTTGCCACTAAGTCACCACCAAGTCACTGCCACCGACCTAACAATTATAGTGTTAGGCTAACATAGCTTAGCTTTGTTTGTATTTTTCAGTAATTCTGTATGACAGTAATATGACAAAGCATTTCAGTTCAACATATAATAACATGAAGTTTAACATCTCTAAAGCAGAAACATGTGGACATTTGAAAGATATTTAACTCATCATTCAAAAACCTTAAAATGCTCCCTTTATATATTCCTAAGTCAGTATTCGTGGTAGATGGAGGTGTGAATTTGTTTCTAAGTGGTAGCATTTAGTTTTTGTTCAGATTGAATACAAGGTGGTTCAGTCCTTCTTATAAATTGACTGGCTAAACATTTGTGTATCAGTCCCAAAACTGATGGATTGGAACTTAAAAGTAATTTTTATCAAACTCTAGACTTTTTAAAAAAATAATCAAAATGAAGAAATCTGTGGAATTAAATATCTCAGGTAATTTCTTAGGGTTCTGTACATTTAGACCCAAAAGTTCGCCTTATTTGCCAATTTCTTCAAGTAACTATTGTAATAACTAAAGCTTGTTAACTTTTCTCTGATTGCTCAATTCCATTAAAATTTTCTTTCTGGATCCATTGGTATAACTTAGTGGTAAAGTGCTTATCTAATATACTGTGCGATACTGGATTCCAAACAAGCACCACCAAGAAAAAAAATCTGCCTGTTTATGTAAACAAATGCTTTTATGGAAAGCGCAGTCCTTGTCCCCAATGCCAGTCCAATAATGAGGATACAGTTTTGACAAAAAGGAAAAAAGAAGGTTTATTGATTTGCTAGCAAAGGAAAAACACAGGAGACTCCTGTCCCAAAGGCTGTGGTTCTGCCCATCAGCAGGAACAGGGGGTCTTTAAAGAGGTGATTCAAAGGCTATAAGCCACTTGTTCTCTGTTGGAGTTGTAATTCATTTGTTAATTTGGTAGATAGTCATTTCTGAGATCTTCAGGTACAATCCTTAAAGTCTGGATTACCTTGTTTCTGTGGTGGGTTTGTACTCAAGGACAGATAAATCTGCCTAATTAGGGAAGAAAGGTAATCCTGTTTCCCCTGAAATTAGGTAGGGGGAGAGATTAGGGAGGAGCAGGAAGACAGGAAGAGAAAGAAGCATGTCCATTTTAAAAATAAGTTGCAGTGGCAGAGCAGCAAGGACTACATTCAAAGCATTAAGTGGACCACTGTTACGTAACCACCTAGTTGCAGAACTTGCTTTAGCATTTGTGTTCATGTTGCTGGAGACATATTAAAGGACTTGAGACATCAAATATTTTCTGTTGCAATTCAAATCTGCCTTGACAGTTAACTAAAGAGCTATAACCAGGTACTTGTATTGGGAGGATTCTTTTTCCCAGTATTATTATCAGTCACTTAAGAAGGGTATGGTTAGGAAAAAAAAAAGCTAGATTTTTAGTTCAGGAATTCCATTTGAAAAGAGAGTAAATTAACATGAGAAGACTGAGTAAGGTAAAAGAAGCATCATTAGTGTCCTATTTTAAAATGTAGTGGAAGATACAAGTTATTTGTTTAATATCAATATTTAAAGTTTTTTTTAACCTGCTATTTCGATGTGTTAAGTCTGCTATTGTTCCTTTGTATCTGTTTTTTCTTATGACTATCAAAATTCAAAAAAACATAGTTTTTTAAAATACAGATCAATTTAGAGTAATAAAATTGGCAATGCATTTTTGCTATTTCTCTGACTCATTAGGTGCTAATTGATAGGAATATATCTGGGTTATCTAGGAGTCTAACATGGGTAAATAGTAATATAGAAAGTCTGGAACTGAGGAACATAGTGATGGGGTCCACAAGAGTACACTGCATTATAATAAAGCCATACTCAGGAGACAAAGTTGAATTAAACTGAGACTAGGACTTTCACGTGGTCAGTTCAGAGACAGGAATTCGATTTTCAAAACCAGTCTGCTTATAATCCTGGGTGATCTTATTGTCTTTTGGAGGATCCATCTAAAACTTATTTTTTTTCCCACTCCTGCTGACTTTTATCTCCATTCCTTTCATAGTTTACCCACATTATCAGTAACAGCTCAACTCCGTTATTCTCAAAAGAGTTTAACCTCTGAAATCTTAAACTTCAGTATAGTTCTTCTAGACCATAACATTCACTGTGCCAGTTGATCCAGGTAAGACTCCTATATAAATATTAGGCAAGACAGGCATGTTAACTTTGTGTTGTTGTATTAGAGGATATAATACATGAAAGCCATGCATTTAATAACTTGTAGATAGAGAGTGCTCAATAAAAGTGCTGCTGGTGGTGATTTTGTTGGTATTATTATTATTGCCACTTTACAGTTACAGAGCAAATTATCTTATTTGATTGTCTAATTTAACTCCCTGATTTTACAGATTGGMTTCTGCAAATTTATAGGTGACAAATCAGAACACAGACCAACAGATTTAGTTATATGTTCATCCAATTAATAAGTAAAGTGACTGTTGTGCTGGAAATAAAATGAGATAATAAATGTGAAAAGCATATAACTGGCATTCAATAAATGTTCTCTGCTGTTATTGGAAGACCTACAATCTTATAGGTTTAATTCACTTCTGTACTTCATTTAGTGAGTACTAGGAATTAGTTGACTATATTACGCTCCAARACCTGATCTCCAGACTCTTTGCATTTGCTTTAGTTTAGAAAAAATAATTTCCCTTATTCCTTGTATACTTTTCACATATGTGCATTTCAACTTTGGCTTGCAACTATATACTTCTGCAATAAGCCTTTTATACATATTGTGGTATAGTGGTCCCTTGGAGGTAGAAACTCAGATACTAAGACAAAATTAGAATAGGCCCTTCTTTGACTCCTTATTCTAGATTAATGACACCAAAAGAAACTTCAGATGTGGAGGGACCTGCAAAAGCAGTAAACTCTGGAGGAGGGCATGAATGGGGTGCAGAGGTTTTGATTTATAGTGAACTGAATGCATTAATTATCAAAAGCTTTAAAAAATAAATATCTATGCTTAGGCCTCATATTCTAATGTGGTTCTACGTGCCCTTTCTACCTCCTTGCAGAAATTCTTAGGAAGCTCTTAAAACACATTGAAGGCTTACTAAATCTAAATTTCATACATGAATTAAAAAAAAAAAAACTATTCAGGAGTTTCTTAAACAGATAAGATTAAGGACCTGAGGCACATACCTTGCTAAAGAAAGGTTGTGTTTTGTTTGTTTTCAAAGTGCTGAGGATTGAACCCAGGGCTTTATCGATGTTGGTCATGTGTTCTACCACTGAGCTACACTCCCAGCCCCTAAAGTTTTCTTTAAAGCAGTAACATAGTCCCTTTTGGTAGTTGTGAAAATCAGTCACTAAAGCCCTTTTGGCATGTTTTATGATTTTTAAAATGTATGAGTTAAAAAAAAAAGAAACATGGAATGTAAATATAGTTTATTAGGGTTTTAAATACTGTACTAAAGAAAAAAATTTAAAGCACACACAAAAAGTGACTGTGGGTACTAACAGAGATGTACTTTAGAATAACCTGAGTGGAGATTTGTCAATGTGGTATAAGTAGGTTGAATCCCAAC